TCGAGGCCCAACCAGCACAAAAATGACAATAATACTTACAATAGATCTTCTGATTAGAAAGATCGTGATTGGCAATTGAATACGAACCATGCTATGAACATCGAAGTAATTGATGATGACGACGACTCAAACACAGACCTTAAAGAATCTGCAGAATTTGGAAGTGTATAATCTGGGGGTCAAAGATACCATATATGACGCGTACAACGTGACAGTGAGCATCAACAACATACTTGATGCAAGTTGACACCGGTACTAGGTACAGTATGCTTCCGAAGCTGACAGCTAAGACTGTAGGCATAACCGCGATACGTAAGACGTATATTAAACTCACTTGTTATGACGGCAGCGCTATCAAGATATTAGGTCTTGCCAATGTGAACGTTAAGTATGAATGAAGGAAACTCACATACACTGGAGGCCATTGTAGTGTTTATGATAAGATCCCCCTGCTAGGACGTATGTGGCTCAACACCTTCAACAACATTTTAAAAACGTTCTTAGTGGGTAGTGTAGAGTGATCTCGAGAAGATAATCTCGACAACAAAAAAAGACCTTGCAACGTCCTACAAACCCAAAATGGTCAGGCAAGAGAAAATTCACTTGAAACCCGATGCTGCGCCTAAGATCATACTTTCAAGGAGAATTCCGTGCGCCAAGATTGATGCAACGACTCAGAAACGGGATTGCTGGCTGAAACACGACAAAATAAAACTTGCTCGAAAGGAATCTAGATGTCCGATGTCATGCACAAGCGATCCGGTTTGGAAATTAGCTAGGGGTTGTCTTTACTTTACCAAGCCATCGTTCGAATTGGAAAGAAGACTGCACCATGAACATGGGTGGCGTATTGCCCGGTGATTATGAATGACGTTACCACTCAACTTATCCAAGGAAATCATTCTTTGGAGGGTGTAATGTTGAATATGTTGATTGATGTTATTTTATTATTTATTTTGGCAATTGATTTATTTTATATTATATCAATTTATACTTAAATTTAATCGGTGAAAATTTTATATTAACATTTTTATTTATACATAAATTTGTATTAGTTATTTTTTTTTATTATTGTTTAAAAAAAAGATAAATAAAGAGATAAAAAAAATGTAATTGAGATTGAAAAATGTAATGTAAATTATTATAAGAAAATAAAATAAAATTATAACCAATATAAAATGTGATTTAATTATTTATCTATGATAAAGTGGAAATAATACAATTCCAACATAAACACTAACCGTTAGGTTTTTTACCGACATCCGTTTATTACTCGAAGTTGAAATAGTAATTTTATTCCTGCCTATCTTTAATATCAATTTAAGTAAATCAACCAAAGTATTAACAAAATAATAGTGGTGTCTAATAAAATTTCTCCTGATTTAATATAAACAGTAACCATTAGGTAGAACCTGAACCGCGTAGTTTGCTAAACACTAAAATATTAAAATATCATTATTATATTAATACCAACTGCTATTACAATGTTTTTTGATAAAATACATATCAAGATAGGATGAACTCTGTTTAATTTTTTTGCTTAATACATTATTACTAAAATAATCTCATACAATTAGAATTAAACTTGATTCAAAAATTATACTAAGCTAGGATTAAATTTTGATCAAAATGACAAGCTGCTTACAATAATTACTAAAATATCTCATTTACTTGTAATAATGATAACAGTGGCGTCACTAGGGAAGGGCGCGCAGGGGCTCGAGCCCCCTGAAATATTTGAATAGCCCCCTGAAGTAAAAAGGATTTTTTTTTAATGGCTCCTTAATAGCCCCTAGAACTAAAAATAAATTTTTTGATTGCTCCCTGAACGATTTCTTTTATAATTCCATTACGTAATATATAGATTTAATTTTATTATCTAAAAGACTATCTTAATTTTTATTAAATGAATATTATTTTAATTATTAGATTAGATTAATACATATAAATTATATTTTTATATGTCAGCTTGCACTCAAATTCTGTGTTAACAATAGAATATCAATATCACTCACTAAATATTTATTTAGCATAAACAGTTAAAGCTTAATTGACTTTTATTTTTTAAATTATTGTATAACCCTATTTAAATAAATATAATCATTTATTAATTGAAAATTAACAAGTTTAATATGTAATTAGCCGAGTCAAAATCACTAATATTATATTATTCATTTTTAAATTTAATTACATGCCTCTTCTTAAAAATATTTTCAAGGCCAATTAAGTATTAAGTAATATAGTTTATAATCCTCTACTATATATAATTGGTTATAAAATATTAGGTAAAATGCCACTTTTACAGACGTATTTGACAGTTTTTACTAATAAATGCTTTTGATAATAAATATAAGCAGCAATTTGCATTTAATTATTTAACGCCATCTATTTATTTAAAAATATTATTACAAATTAAACATCTTATTATTCATCCCACAATGGATATAATAAATTAGATATCTTTTCTTCTCTTTTTTACTCGTTTTTCGGAAAGTTATTTTTTTCTTCTTTGAAAAACAGTTTTGAGTTAAAATTTTAATACGAGTATATTATTGATACTATTACAAACTAATATTATTTAAAGATATAATATACCAACTAGAGGTAGTGCGATATATATAAAATCTTACTTGTTTTCATCATATTACTCTGGTTCTTATTTTATAGTTACAAAATGTTTGAATCTAAGCCGTGTAAATAACTTATGGCTTCAATATATTTACATATTTTCTTCTAAAGATTTATAGTGTTTTTGTTTTAACAATTTATCTAACATAATAAATTCTGATATGAGTTAACATCGTGTGTGTCAATGACTGCCAATTAACCAGCATCTATTATTTGTGTAGCTATGTAAGTTTAGATTATTACTACAGCTGCTGAAAGCATGTGATTGCATATTTTAGATAAGCAATAATTATCAAATGTGTAGTCGTTTATATATAATTAAAAATGGAAGATAATCTTATAGAAATATATCTCACAATAATTATCTCTATTACTTATCTAGTTTCCATCATGTTATCTAAAAGTAAGCTCTAACCACTATATAGTTTTATGATTTGGATTGGTCGTTTATATTCTCTTCTTCAAGAATTGTTAATTTGGTTAGGCCTATAAATTTTTCCTATTAAACATTGTCTAAAATGGTAACAGAGAGTAATATTAGCTTCATGACCTTTTGTTAATGTAAGTTGTTAAGAATTATATTATATTATGTGGTTTTTAGAAACTATTATTGATTGAGGTATATGTATGAAATAATTAAACTTTTTTATCACTTGTAATTCTTTAGACGCCAAATCTTTTTATACCAATAATCGAAAATACTTTATATTGTAATAAATAGATGTTTTATTAAAAAATTTTATTTTTATGTCTTGTATTGTTTTAATTATTTATATGCTAGTTTATTTTTTATTAATATAATTTTTTTTTCTCTTTAGCTTTCACCTTTTCTGGTGGTAAGCTCCTTCAACATCTCTCTCCACTTTATGTTATTCATATAATCTCTTTTATCTAATTTATACTTCTTTATATTGTCTCTAACTTTATGGCCCCATTGAAGTTTTGGTCTTCCTCTTATACGTTTGCCCATAACTTCCAAACTCTCAACTTTATTTCCTATGTAGTTCATAGGCCTTCTCATTGTGTGCCCATACTACCTAAGTCTGTTTACCATTAACTTAGTCTTAATGGGCACTACCTTTAAACTACTTAGTATTCTTACTTTATCTTTTCTTGTTACCCCAGCAATCATCTTCAGCATTCTTATCTCCATAGTTTGTAGACTTCTCTCGTCCGATTCTTTGGTTGGCCATGTTTCCGAATTTTAAAGAATAGTTGGTTTTACTATGGAACTGTAAATTTTTCCCTTTAATTTGTGTGGGATTCTTTTGTCAAATAGCACTCCAGATAAAGTTCTCCACTTTAACCACCCTTTATTAATTTTACTCTTTACCTCTTTTTCTATTGTGCCGTTTGTTTGTATAGTGGAACCCAAATATTTGCAGCTTTCAATTGCCGATATCTGCCATTCATTTATATCAATAATCTCTGTTTCATCTCCTCCTATCACCATATATTCCGTCTTTTCTCTATTTACTTTTAATCCGTGCCTTTCTAAGATATTTATCCAACTCACATTTAATCCTTAGATTCGGCAAGTATCACAATATCATCTGTAAATATCATATTCCACGGGACTGTTTGAGGTATAGACTGTGCTAATACATCTATTACTGTAATGAAGAATAGTGGGCTGAGAGCCGACCCTTGATGAACTCCTTCGGCTATTATGAAGCCTGCTGAAGTACCTATTGTGTTACGGACCATTTTTGTATGGCCCATATACATATCATGTATTATTCTTATATATTTTTCGGGAACCTTTTTGTGGCGTAGCACCCACCAAATAAGTTTTCTTGGGATTCTATCGAAAGCCTTTTCTAGATCGAGAAGCCCTGGCAAAAGCGCACCGAAGGCCTGGAAATTAGAGGGTTTGGGGGCTTCGTCCCCCGTAAATTTTTTTTTAGTTGAGCCCCCTGAGATTGTAAAGGCTAGCGACGCCCCTGAATGATAACTCACACATAAGACTTTGGTGTTAACGTAGTTTTGTATAATCAAATAGGCATGCAGCACATTGGATTTATTAAAAATATTACATAATATATTTCTAATTCCATGTACATATTTCTAATTACAAAATTGTAAAATAAATTATAATATTTTATTTTAAATTATTCCTGAAATATCAATATTTACTCATTTTCTTCAGTCTAGAAATCTTAACTATAGCAGATCATAACATTATACAAATCATAAATAATTTAAACAAAAGATTTTAAAAATAAGTCACATCTTAGAAATCAAAATTCTTATAAGCTTGATTTCTAAATTTGCTTTTTTTTTGACAATGATTGACTGAAACAGTTTGTTAAGGTTGTCGTTTTTAACCAGGTTCACAAAAAAAATAAAAGTTCCTTATTACCGTTTCGTAATTTAGTTCTTCTCTTTTTTAAATTTTAAACTCAAAAATCTTTAGCACAAAATTCTCTAATCCATTCATTCTTATAAAATCATATGACTTTCTATATAATATTCATTAAAAGGTATATTTTAAAAGATTAATTATATTCCGTATCATATATTATATATATATATATTATTTGTTTTATCTATATCATTGTAGTAGATATTAAATATTAAATTTTTATTCTTATTTTTATATATATATAAAATATTTTCTTTATACAATTCATGATTTTAAAATAAAAGTGTATAAAATAATTAATGTCATTATTATCTTAGTGGAGAATATGCCTACACACTTAGGATCTTGATAAGACTTTTGGCTACCCAGGGTTAAATTTGTTGGCCCTATAAAAAATTCATATTTACATAAGCTTTGAATAAATTATAAAACATGAACAAGTAGTTATTTATGATTTTTAAAAAATATAATTCACTTTTAAATGTATAAGAGGAAATATTTGGTGACCCCTATATGATAATTTTGGTGTCCCAGGGCCACTACCCACTTTCTCCTCCTTTTGTGTGGGAATGTATTCCATTTTATTTTGATAGAAAACTACTACTAAAATCAAATTTTATTAGTGCTCCTCTTTTGTGAAAATGTGATACAAAAATGAAACTCTTAAATCAAATTTTTTTTAGATAATTTATTTACATTATTATTTAAAATTTAACATGATACAATTTACAATATATGAAGCATTTCAAATTAATATTTATAATTATCTGGGAAACATAGATTCTTGCATAGCTTGATCATGATTTTGGGATATAAATATGATATTAAAATATACAAAATGATGATAGCTAACAATAAAACTCAAAGCTTAAAATATCTGATCTAAAAGTCTGGCCCTAAACCCATCCTAGTTATATGGGCTGGGTCATAATTTAAATTAAAAAACTCAAGCTAAGATGGGTTACAATTTTTTTCAATGCCCAGGCTAGGTTTAAAATTTTTTTTATCAAAAATATGAATTTATTATGATTTTTTTTAAATACCTGGACTTGGCCAACTATTTTAAATCGTAACTTATATATTAAAATTTAAATTGAATAAATGAAATATAATTAAAAATTGTTGTATTATAGAATGATATATCACATTCATTCATTTGTATATTTCTATTTCATATCATTTTATCAATCATAAAAAAATACTTAACAGGTTTATAAAATTATGGTAATTTGCAAATTATTCAACTAATTATAATTATATTTTAGTGAAATTATAAATTTTATACCTACACCTAGTATTTCACTACTTTTTTTGGTATTAAATAAAAAATTATTGTTATTATCATTTTAAAATAAAGGAGATAAGTTTTAAAAGTTATTAAAAACATGCAAAACAGACATTAATATGCTTAATAGATATATATTTTTTAAATCCAAGTCAAATATTTTTTTCATAAATGTGGGCCATCAAATATTTTTTTAGATAAATCGGGGTCACAAAAATTTTTCTTTTACATCTGGGCTGGGTTGTAATTATTTTTATAAATCTTGACCATGAAATTGATATCTCTGCAGAACACTAATTTATTTTTTTATATTTTATTCATTTTCAAAATAGTTAACTTAGATGGCATTCCTTAGAAATTATATAAACTTTACAATAGCTTGAGAGGAATTTATTTGAAGGAGGTATAATATAACTGGCACCCCCATAGTTATCATAGAGACAAGCCATATTTTTACAGATGCAAGAGCATCAAAAGCCCTCAAATTATGGAGATGCTATTTTTTTTCCCTTTTGAGTACAGGAAATATATCTTACACCTTTCAAAAGTCCCATTTGTAAAAAAAAGAATTCACCTTTCTTATAGGATTTCTTACTTTTTTCTCCTTCTAAGAAAGATTGATTTGAATATTCTTTTATTTACCCTAATATTAAATCTGCAATTCCCCCCCTTTTTTAGCATATTTAACATTTGGATTTCTTTTCTTTTTGTTATGTGAATGGAATGGACATATTATCTTCTCTACAAGTACAAGGGTTGTTAAAAAATATTTTTAAATGAACTAGAAGATTACATTTGTATTTCCCTTTTCTTAAAGCAAATAATTTGGATTTCCATTTTCTTTGTTATGTAAATGGAATGGACATACGGCCTTCTCTACAAGTATAAGGGTTGTAAATTTTTTTAAAAAGAGGATATAGATACAATTACATCATAAGATGTATATAAATATTGATACACTCTGAAGAATGTATCTGATATAGATGCAAATGCTTTTTATAAAAGTGAATTTTAATAATATACCAGATACAACATTTATGAATCATGCATTCACCTCCTTTTCTGAGTTCATTTCCACTTTTTATATTTGATATGTATATCAATGGTTACGCAAAGACGAAATGATTTTAACTATGGCAAGTTTTTATTTATTTATTTATTCTATTATTAAACATTTCAAGTAATTGTCATTTTCGCATAACGCCAATTTCACCATTTGAAACTTAATATTTAATTTTTGCTATAAGAGTTTTTTTTTCTAAAAAATACTTACAAATTATTATGAATTTTTAATTGAAAAAAAAATTGAAATCACATTATGAATGGTTCTATATAGCGATCGTTTTTTTAAAATCAGCTCAAATGGAGCGATTTTGAAACACTAGTTCTATCTACTACTAACTGCTCTCATTAAATAATCAATGAATATTTTTTTCTCCCGTTTATTAATAAAATATGAATATGAAAAACTAGTGAACAATAATAAAGATACCTTTTGTATTTTTTTTAAAAAAAATATTAAATATTAATTTTTTCTTTTAAAACACCCCCCCCCCCCCCCCCCCCTCCAAACTTTCTCCCAATTTCCTTTTCCCCACAAATAAAAACAAAGATTAAGTGAAAAAGAGAAGATTGTTTTATAAAGTTACGATTCATTAGACGGCGCCAGCCATGCACATGGAATTTGTTAGTTTGGTGAATATGTCGAGATTTAAAAAAAGTCACACACTTTAAAAATAATAAATAAAAAATTATGAATGAATTTGAAAAAAAAAAGAAAAGTCCCTCAAAAAGAAATCTTTGATTTACGAATCCCGTATGTGGGACAGAGTATAATTAATTTTCCCTAAAATAAATAAAGAGAGAATCAGTTTAGGTTGGGCAAAAAATGGTGAATGGTTTCCATGACATTCAACGAGGTATAAATGTAAATGTAAGGTATACCCCGGGAAAATTCTCAATATTTATATTCCTCGGTAAAATTCACCGGTTATATATTTTTTAAATATGCAATAATAACAAACCAATGACTGAATCTGACAAATTCTATGTGACCTCCATGTATATTTTTTTTATAGCACGTAGTTTATATAAGTCCTTTTTTAACCTTAAATGTACATTTCCGAATCATACCAAAATGACAGCTTATGTCATATCATGTATTCAATTTTCTAGTACTCTGGAAATAGAAATTTTAACTTCTCAGGATCAAGGTTATTTTATAATTTTTTATACCTATGAATTAAATTGCATCGAGGAATTTATTGAAATTTCCATTAGAAACGATAAAGCTTTAGCGTATATATAGTTTAAAATTGTTTTGATGCTAGATGTTTGTATTCTTCTATATCAAGTGAAAGTGGTACTACCTCAACTAGATCAAGTAAAAAAAGTACTACCTCAATTATCATTGATAACGAATGAATATATAGTGTTTTATCAATTTTTGATATGAAATGCGATATTTTTAACAAATAAAATAAATTTTTTAAATGACAGTGTTAGTGCTGTTAATATTGTCTTATTCGATAACATGAATTAAGTCACATTCTTGCAAAGATTCATTATTTCCTTATGTAATTTTCCTATATTTTCTCGGGTTTACCCAATTTTCCTAGGAAATTTCTCTGATTTTATTTTCTCCGGAAATTTCCATCTTTAACAAAGTGTATCACACCGTCTGATTTTTTTGAGTAGGAATTATTAGGTAATCCGCTACTGTTTTAGTGGAGTCTATAGAAGCCCAGATGTGCTACATATTACATAAAAAGTTAAGATCAAAAATCTCCAGCAGCCTTATCTTAGAATATATTATATTTCATATATTTTAGTTTATCTTATTATATCAAATTCAAAATAAAGGAGATAGGCTATAATTATGAATTTAGAGATTGGGGCTTATTACACCCTACATTCATTAGATTTTTGACCGGAGGTTCGATTTTTTTTAAAATCTTAGAATTTTGCAAATTTACTTATTTTTTCCATCATAATAAATTTGGGGCCTGGGGGCCCATCGTACAAAATTATTTTACGGGTCGGAAAATCTTTTCAAAAATTCCCGCAAGTCAATTCGGGCCTCGCCGACCTCTATTATACATATTTTTTTTCGCCGGAGAACAAAAGATGAGTAATTCTAGCACTGGCAATAATCAAGTCAAGTGTCTTGTTAGTTATAAATTAAAAATATTATTTAAAAAAAAACAGATGTCAAGATAAAAAATAATATCATTTCAATGGTACATTTTATAAAAATAAAAATACAAATAGATTTATTTTATAGTAATGTAATGTAATTTATTATTTTATTTTTCTTTATATAATAATGTTAATATTATTATATTTTATTTTTTCCTCCCAAAAAGCATTTTTTTGATCTGATATATAATATAACACTATTAGAGCTTTCGATATTTTGTAAAAATGATGGATTAATTAATTGTGTATTTTATTAAATCAAAATCAATAATAAATTTTACAAAAATTACCCTAGATATTTTATATTCTTCTTTTTTTTTAAAAAAATTGAAAATATTCGAATTCCTTCATAATTCTGGTTCACTCCAATCCAACACTCTTTCACTTTTATACTTTTCCCTTTATGAAGTCGGAAAAGGAAAGATCCATGTATTTATAAAATCATTCATAATCTCTATTCATATACAATCTCTTTTCGAGCAAGGTAAAATTTTATCTGTTCAATCATTATAAAGGATAGTTTTCTTAGATTTCCAAAGGTCTTTTTTTAATATAATTTTCAAAGAATATTTTTACGAATTTAATCTTTAATTCCTGAGCAATTAACAAAAAAACTTAGTTTTTATAGCGAGATT